AATTGCGGGCGCACCTTGAAAGCGCTCTTGAGGTCACCGCTCATCTCGTGCTCGATTGAGCGGACAATGTCGTAGGACGAGATCTTGCGGTACTCCTGGAACGTGGCTCGCAGCTGCGGGTAGCTGCGCAGCGCAATGATCTGATGCAATACGCGCATTGCATGCAGGCACGGATGTGATGGTGATGGGGGGGGGGGGTGAGTGTATGAATGGGGTTACTGTGCATGTGTGCGAGCGCGTGCATGTTCACATGTCGTCACACATCATCGCAAGTGCGTGCACAAGTGCGTGTGCGGGGGTGTGTACACACACCTGGTTGAACTTTGACTCGTCGGTGCCCCAGCGCTTCTCGCCGGCCTTGTACAGCTCCTCAGCCTCGCGCTTGGCTTTGGCCATGTCAACCTCAGCCGACTCCTCCTGGTAGTAACAACCAGTGATCATTGTGGATGAGGTGGTGATAGGGTGGCGATGATGCGGTAAGCAACACGGGTGGTGATGTTTGTGTAAGTGGCGCAGAAACAGAAAAAAAATCACTTTAAAACACACACACACACACACACACACACACACACACACACACACACACACACACACACACACACACACACACACACACACAGTCATCCAGACACACAGTCATCCAGGCATTTACGCACACATAGACCTCCAGACACACATATACGCACACAAAACACAACACACACGTACACATACACACAGAACATGGTGCGCACCCTGTTGCCCTGGACGCATGAGACGAGGAGGCGCTTGAAGTGCCCGCTCGTGTCGGACACAATGTCCTTCTCAAGATCACGACCGTACACTAAGTTGCATTGAATTGGAGTGCAGAGGCGACAGGAGGGGATGGGTGCGAAGGTTAATAAGGTGAAGTTGAAGGTGATGGTGATGATGACAGTCAAATCATGTGCGGCGTGTAGTGGTGTCGATGGAAACAAATGACAGCTGCAGCGTGACCACGCGAAGGAAACCCCTGCTATATCTTGTTGTGACATCTCTCCTCCTCACATTGCTGCCCCTCCTCCCGCGCCAAATCGCCCATCGTGTTACCGCGCAACTCACGTTCTTTGTACGCGGCCTTGATGGCGTGAATCTCCTGGTTCGTGCGCGTGCAGATGACCTCAATCAGCGCCCGCTCGTCAGTGCCCATGCCCTGCCGTTGACAAGGCCGGTGATGGTGAAGTGTGGTGCAGGCATTGATGGATGGATGTGAGCTGCAAGATCACGGGTATCAAAAATACATACACACAACACACATGCGCACTCACAAAGACAGACAGATACACACACACACACACACACACACACACACACAGACACAGACACGCAGACACGCACAGACACACACACACATAGACACACACCTTCATGGCCTTCCTGAGGCAGCGAGCGTCAAAGTGGGGGCGGTCGTAGAGAAGACCAACAAGCACGTCCTCAAAGTGCCCGCTCGTCTCGGACTTGAGATCCTTCTCAAGATCCTTGCCGTACATCGTCTGGTCGCGTTTGGAACCCGAGGGGGAGGGGGGTGGAAGTGGGTGGAGGTGATGGTGTGGAGAAATACGTCGCATGTCACACACACACACACACACACACACACACACACACACACACACACACACACACACACACAAAACAGAGACAGACACAGAGACAGACACACGACAGCAGCAAGACGCTTGCGTGTGGCGGTCACCTTGAACTGGAGCTTGATCTTGAGGCGCTGCTCGGCGGTGCGGTTGGTCAGCACGTCGATAATCGCCTTCTCATCCGTGCCCATGCCTACAGGCAGTACAGTCGAAACGCGCGCGCACACACACACACACATACAAACACGCACACACATACAAACGTGGGCATGAAAACATGTACACACACATGTGAGTGTGAGCAACCGGAAACAGACGACAGATGCGATCAACAACAGGAAGTAGGAGAACAAGCAGGAGGTACAAGTTCAAGTGCAGACACCAGAGGCACAGCAGTAATAGATAATCAACACTGTCTCCACATTCCATTTCTTTCCATCCACCTTCCCCCTCCCTCGTCATTGTGCACGAGTGGTTGCGCGTACCCTTCATGGCCTTGCGGAGAGCAATGGCATCCTCTTCAGCGTTGAAGTTCGGGTACGGGTGCACCGTCGGGTGCCCAACCGGCTGGCAGCGGCAGAACGTCCATTATCACATCATCACAGTAGCACAACAGCAGGAGGAGGTACGACAGGCGTGAGTAAACGGTAAGCACACACACACACACACACACACACACACACACACAATGCATGCATGCACGCACATACACACACAATGCATGCATGCACGCATACTACCTCCGCCACCACCACAGGTACAAATTGCAAGCTATTGCTCACCTCCAGAGACATGCTCTGCATGCTGCTCGTCACGTCGCCAACGCTGCCGCTGCTGGCTGGCGGTGGAGGCGCTGAGCGCTGTGGGGGCGGTGCCTGCTGCGTCGTCGGTGGTGGTGGCGCAGCCTGGTGCGGCGACGGCGGCTGTTGCTGGCCGTACCCCTGGGGTGGTGGCTGCTGTTGGCCATAACCCTGCTGTGGTGGCTGTTGCTGACCGTACCCTTGGGGTGGTGGGGGTTGTTGACCATAGCCCTGAGGAGGAGGTGGCTGTTGGCCGTAGCCCTGAGGTGGTGGCTGTTGGCCGTAGCCCTGGGGAGGAGGGGGCTGCTGACCGTAGCCCTGAGGTGGTGGTTGCTGGGCGTAGCTGTGGGGTGGAGGCTGCTGCCCGTATCCCTGGGGCGGCTGGCCGTACCCCTGTGGCGGGGGCTGCTGGCCATAGGGCTGGGCCGGCGGGGGCGCGTACCCAGACTGAGGGGGCTGGTGGAACCCGCCGCCATAGGGGGGCTGCTGGCCATATGGGCCTGGCGGCGGCTGTTGCTGCTGCTGGTACCCGCCGTACGGTGGCTGCTGGTACCCACCACCATACGGGGGCTGCTGCTGCTGCTGCTGCTGCTGCTGCTGGGGCGGCTGGCCGTAGGCGCCCGGTGGGTAGGCCGCGTTCTGCCCGGGGTACTGGACGCTGCCTGGACCATAGCCTGAGAGAGAAGGCACACGAAAACAAGCACGATCGGTGACGGGGCGGATGACGTGTTGGTGTGCGCGTGAGTTGGACGGGTGTGTGGCGTTATGGATGAATGTGCGTCGAAAAGGACGAAACGGCAAGGGTTGCAAAAAAAAAAAAAAAAAAAAAGGAGAAAAGAGAGCCACCAAGCAAAGGGCAGGGGTGGCACTCACTCATGGCAGCGTACCTGTGGGAGGTGGAGGAGGGTAGGACATGATGGGGGGCTTTTCTTCTTTCCTTTTCGGAAGGGTAGAGAGGAGGACACGTAAAATCTGTTTGTGATGGGCAAACAAACGATGGACAGGCAGACAGATCGATACGCAAGCAGAGGCGCGGGGGAGGGGCTGGATGAGAATCGAGCGAAATCGTGAGGAAATGTAATCGAAGCGATAATGGCGAACACGCACGCACAGAGACATGGAGGGGGAGATACAGGAGAGGGGGAGCTGTGAAGATGCAGGAACACACTTACGCACACCACGGCAACAACGAAACAAGCAAAGGCCACTCACCAATCCAAGAATCCACTCACGCAAACACAAACAGAAGCAACTCACTTGTTTGCCGAGATGCGTCGTCGTCGAAACAGTGAAATCCGTTTGTGGGAAATGACAGCGACGAATATCCACTGAAAATATACACCAATCGCCATTACCACAAGGCGCAGAAGGAGAAAGGGTGGATGCTGTTGTTGTTCTTGGACGACCAAGCACACGACTCACACACTGACAAAAGTGCACATACACACACCCATACACACACACACACACACACTCACTCACACAGACATCAGTGCCGGCATGTCGATGGCAGCAAGAGGGGTGGACGCAAAGAAGTCCGTTGTGGAGGACGCCAACAGCTTGGAGTTCTTTGAGGGTGCGTCGTCCATGTGCACACAAATGCGCTTCATGTTCTGTGCATGCGTGTTGTGCGTGTTGTGTGTGTGTGTGTGTTGCACCAACGTCTCAGTTAGATCGGCCGTGGTCACTGGTGCAGACTTTGAGCAGGTGTCGACCGTGCCGCTGCTGTTGTCGGAGGTGGAGAAGATCCTGGAGGCGCGAAAAGACCTGCAGCTGCGCGAGGACCCAGATGCGGCCATGAGCGCCGAGTTTACAAAGACCCTCGACTACGCACAGCGATTCGGACACTCGCGCTCATACGAAGCAGACGAGGCCCTCCGATCGTACGTCAGATTGTAGATTGGATTTTGGATTGCTTGCGTGCGTGCATGTGTGCGTGCGCGCGCGCGCGCGCGCGTGTGTGTGTGTGTATGCGTGTGTGTTCGCTGCGCGCTCGTTGCTGTGTTGGGCGTGTGCTTGTTCACTGCAAACATACACACACGCATGTACACACACACACACATTCACCTACGCACACACACACACATACACATACTCACAGGATTATGGAAGAGTTGCGGACACAGACACCAGATATGGAGAAGAGGTTGCACAAGTTTGAGGAGGTGCAGTTGATCAACCTGGCGCCAGAGACCGTGGAGGAAGCAAAGGCCCTCATCCCAACGTGAGTCAACGCAGAGGAGGCTGTGAGGAGATGAGAGGAGATTCGGGGGATGGGGTCGCTTGCTGGCTGCGTTTGGGAGCTGTGCGCGAGAAGTAGTTTTGCTGTCTTGAATACCGCACTGCCTTGAATGTCTCACAAATATTGTCTCCTCCTTCCCCCTTCTCACGCACACATGCGTGCATGTGCGCGCGTGTGTGTGCGCTTGTATGTGTGCGTGTATGTGTGCGTGTGTGTGTGTGCGTGTGTGTGCGTGTGTATGTGGACGCGTCTACTTCCTGTGTGTTGTGTGTGAATGTGCACAGGTTGGTGCGTGTGGACGACGATATCTTGGAGAATGTGCTGCAGCAGATTATGGCGTTCCGTTCCTTTGCA